TGCCCACCACTGAATATGCGTATACAACCATTAACTTCTATACACTCGTGCCATATTTCGTTAGCTATATTAACTGATGAGTAAGAATTTATTCAGCAATATCACCTTAATTAGCGCGGCTAACTTTCAAAAATTGAACATGCAAGTTACAAATACGCTGAAATTCCCGTTTTTACAATTTTCAATGGATTTGCGGTAACTATAGATTTTGTTGGTTTGAGAAATCATTTCAAGGAGATCCAATTGGCAGGCGTCCACGAGAAAAAAATCATAGACGGCGAGCGAATCTTTGGAAAATATTGTTTTTCACTCCACGGAATTGTACACTGTACAAGTATAAGTTGAATTGAATCGAGAACTAATGATTTAATTACTCAGTTCATACCAGGCTCAAATTATTCGCTAGTTTATTCAAATTGTTTCCATTAGGGAATTATTCAGACCAAAAGGTTCCATCATTTGATTGTAAATTCAACGAAAATTATTAATCAACATCGTTTTAACCGACTAGTTAAATAGTCTTTTTCTTCGACAGGAAAAGAGTTCTGAAGATTCGTTGCATGCCACCAACTGAACCTGCCGGGCATGTATGCACGTGATAGCTGCCCACCTCAAATGAACGGCTCAAACCTGACAAATTATTTAATTCACAACTTTGGGCAAATAAACATACACAAGTTTACATCCATTGTGATTCTGAACTCAATGATTTCGATTAAATTTTGATGCGTGCACTGTAATTGGTCTGGATTTTTTACGTACTGGTCGTTTTGTGATCCCATCAGCCATTATCAAAAATTAGTATTCAATGAAATATATATTGCCTTGACGCAAAGAATGCTTGTAAATAAATTAAACTAAGTCCATCAAAGTTTCGGTAATCTGCAAACGAAAGTTTAATTACTGGACGCAACATGAACTTATACGTCATTGCTTCCAAAAAATCTATATAAACACATTACATACTGCCTTGTAATTTTCATGCATGATTCATCTTTTAAATTGATAAGGTTCTAAAAAAGTCAAAGGTTATCGCGAAAAAGTATTTGAGTAAATTATTTTATTGGACAATGCCGTCAGGAAACAGGATGCTTTCGCTTGCCATCGTTTTTTCGGTGACGTTGCATGAGCGCTGCGCTGTAAGAGGCTCGGGACAACCTGAGGTATAGGGCGGCCTCACACCGAGTGATCGGGGGCAGGACAAAGAAAATTATGGCGTGGTAGTCTGTGAATAAATATCCGTCTTTGTTGTTGGTCTATATGTGCGATAGGGAGGAAATGTCGAAATTGTACGTGTGTGAAGCTCGTGTAATGTTGAGAGAATGCCTACAAATTTATTTGGCGTGGTAGTCTGTGAATAAATGTCCGTCTTTGTTGTTGGTCTATATATGCATGCGATAGGGAGGAAATATCGAAATTGTTACTGTGTGAAGCTCATGTTCAGAGAATGCCTACAAACCTACGTTATTCCTATAAATTGCAATAATTAAAGTAGGCGTTATTTTATATCCAAAAAAATAAATAGGCGAGAACGGTTTTACAGCAAATATACGGACACAATTGGTCTTGTTCTTGTAGGATTACATGCAATTGCCACCTACAGTATCGTGGTACAGAGATGCCTGTGAGGTGATTATATCCGACGTAAACCTTAACAACCACTGCAATTCATGCGTTAGCTATCATCGGCGGCAATACTAAACGTGTCTGCAATACCAGAAGATATTCTATGTCCCGGCACAAAAATATTGTCTTTAAACCAGTTATTATAAAAATGACATCGGTCCTAGCGAAAGTGCAGTATAACCATGACTAGTTGCAGTTTCTGCTGCAAAAAATAGCAGAAATACTTCCTTTATACTACGAAATAAGTTATTCCTCAAGTCGAATAATATTGAATAAGTATTATTATTTACTTAAAATTTTATAATAATTTCGTTATCGAAATGTGTTACGTGCCGAATGAAATGAATGCTCTATAACCTATTTGCTCTTTCTTGAACTCTATTTGCTCTCAAAATATAACGTTTTCAAACGTCCTGCAGAAAATGTTCAAAACATTCTTCACAATTTCGGTGTCTTGAAACTGACAAATGATACAAGTTTGAACGACAAATGAAAACGCTTAAATATTATTTTCGTTAGGCGCCTGAAATGTCTTTACGACGATGTCGTATCACATAAATTTAGTATACATTGTTACAGTACATACGCTGTAAGTCAACATCAATTGTCTTCACGACTTCAACGCAAATTAAAAATGTCGAGAAGTTAACCCTGGAATGCAACAGATACATATTTAATCTATCAAAGGTGAGCTATGCGTTCGGTAGTCTATGTGATGGTGTGTTCACCTGCTTTATTTCTCACGTCAATATCAGGAGTCATCTATCGACCAATGCTGTATATAGGCTCATGTTCTCAAGTATTATGATTATTTATTTCATTGATCAGGCACTTTTTAATTTCATACATCATGAATAATAACTTAAAAGCTCTGTTTTTTGTGAGATTCTGTGTGTTAAATCAAGCTCACGCTGCGTCTGTACCGCCATGTCTGGCAACACAAACTATAGTAAGTCTTCACTCACAACATAAACTAGTAATAATGAGTAAACTCACAGCGAAAACTATTAATTATGATCAGAGTAACAACACAAACTATAGTAAGTCTTCACTCACAACATAAACTAGTAATAATGAATAAACGCACAGCGAAAACTATTAATTATGACCAGAGTCACAACAAAAACTAGAATTAATGATTTGATTCTAAACACGAACCGTAATTTATGAGTAGACTCGCAGTGCAAACTGGTAATAATTACTTGACTCACGATGCAAACTAGTGATTATGATTTTATCGACGATTAAAACTGGTAATTANTGTACATCTAACGCCAACGCATTTATCGGTTATCATGCAACGCCAACGCTGGTATAATACATCCCTTCATCAATGCTGTTTATCTTGTTGTACATCTAACGCCAACGCATTTATCGGTTATCATGCAACGCCAACGCTGGTATAATACATCCCTTCATCAATGCTGTTTATCTTCTTGTACATCTAACGCCAACGCATTTATCGGTTATCATGCAACGCCAACGCTGGTATGATACATCCCTTCATCAATGCTGTTTATCTTCTTGTACATCTAACGCCAACGCATTTATCGGTTATCATGCAACGCCAACGCTGGTATGATACATCCCTTCATCAATGCTGTTTATCTTCTTGTACATCTAACGCCAACGCATTTATCGGTTATCATGTAACGCCAACGCTGGTATGATATCCTGAGGCACAAGGAAACGTTTCGGCTGCCGACGGTCGAGCTCAGCGCGTCTTTGGTCGCGTCAAACAAAGGCTTTAAAATTCGACATGCTGGAAAACACGTGCATGCTCCAGCTACTAATAAAATTGTACCACCAATAAGCTAATAATGATTAGAGTTGAGACTTATCACGGCTACATTTGTGTCATTTTAATAAGATATCTTTAAATAATTGCCAGGAAGTTAATGAAATCACGATCCTAAATTGGCTGCACGGAAATAGAACACCGGCAATATAATTGTGGAATATTACCCAGAATCTTGACTATAACTCGACATCATATAAAGAGCTATGCCAGCAATAAATTGATGGACAATGAAGAAAATCGAGGGAAGCAATTAATTGGCTTCACATAAATAGGGTCTCGGTAACTAGGCAATATTATATAATAGTAGGTATGAATTGGCTGCGTTATAAGAAAATTGCGGTCATAAAGTGCCTGCTTATGACTAGTTAATGAATATTTGTCAATGCAATGCGCATTTATAAATGTTATGAATATTATTTGACTGTACATTTATGAAAATGTAGGTGACGATTTCACTCCAGATTATTATTGGTCGTGAAAATGAAGTGGCTTCATATGAATATAAATTAAAGCTATAGAATTATTATATATTAAAATTTAACGTGAATACGACTTGGCTGCATAAAATGAGGTCAAGGCTATGAGTTGGCAGCATATTAATATTAAGTGAAAATGAATTAGCTTCGTATGAATAGAGAACGTTGATTAACAAAGACAATTTATTTCGCGTCACATAATCCCCTCAGCCATCTAATATTTTACGAGCTGCAAGATTCAGATTGGACCCTAGACTATAAATTCTAAACTAAGGTGCAAAAAAATAAGGTCGCCCTCATCGCCATTGTTCGAGTAACCACTGACCGCACCAACAGGCGCTCCAGTAACGCACCGCGTGTCCTGCGGTCCGTGACTGATCATCCCATTGTCAAGGCCGGGTATAAATACCGGGGTCAGACGAGCAGCTCTTCACTTGTGTCCTCACGGGCCTGCAGTGCGGATCTCCTGGTGAGTGTGTAGTGCGGACGTCAGGAGGCTTCGGTGAAGGATATACTTGCGTCGGTGATTAGGAGGCTTCGGTGAAGGCTTTACTTGCGTGCTGTCCAGAGTGTGGTGTTCAAGCACACAATGCAGATTTTTTATTCGTGATGAATGTTGATTTAAAAAATGAGTTGAGAACTTTTAAAAGTTGATTTATAAATACAGTATTTGTAGAATTTGAGCACACTCAGTAGTTGGTTTACTGATATATGTTGAATTTTAGTGAAAATTTAGCATACTTAGTACTTAATTTATGGATATCTGTTAATTTAAACAATATATGTTGATTTCGAACATGAGTTGCTCAGATTTAGGAGTTAATTAAAGAATATATGTTGAATTAGTGTACATGTTGAAAGCATTAAGAAATATTCTAAAGTTTCTAAAAGTAGTCCGTAGTGAGGTACATTTTAACTTATGTATAAAATACTAATGTAAGTTTAATTCAGATCATGAACAATATTTTCTTTCATTCCAGGTGCTCTGATTTTCATCATTCTTATTTCCTTCTAAATCTCATTGAAAATCTTAATCAGTTAATCTCATTGAAGTTAATCAGTTAATCTCATTGAAGATCTTGTGAACGCAAGCCCTGAATTAACTTCAACAAGAAAAGTCATGGACAACGTTGCCATCATCAACGCGGAAGATTTCTCAACGTCAACACAACAGAAGAGTAAAAATACCAGGGGTATCCGTGATCCCATTTATGTCAACGGTGATCACCACAGCGACCATGAAGATAATCATGAACATCACCATCATCATGATGAAGACGACGAATATATCTACACATTCTCGCTCAAGCAGATGTATATTGATGCATTAAACCTTGACTGGTCGAAGGTCCTCTGGGACATGGTGGTGGCTATTGTTGTCCTTCATTCTGGTGCTGTGTATGGACTTTTTCTAACTATCACGGGACAAATTAAAGTGTTTAGTATGATTTTCACTGTATTAATGGCCATAATATCTGGACTGGGAGTGACGATGGGAGTTCACCGACTCTGGTCCCATCGCTCCTACAAAGCCTCGTTGCCGGTGAGGCTTGCGCTCATGGGCTTGAATTGCGTCGCCTTCCAGCAATCTATTCTTATTTGGTCTCAGGACCACAGGGTGCATCACAAGTGGTCCGACACCGACAGGGACTTGACCAACTCCAGAAGAGGATTTTTCTTTGCCCACATGGGCTGGAAGATGTATAAGACTCACCCCGAAGTTATAAAAGGCAGGAAGATGGTCAATATTGATGACCTTCTAAGTGATCCGGTGGTCCTCTTCCAGCACAAATACTTTCCGTGGATTTCCGTACCACTAGCGTTCATTTTACCAACAATAATTCCTTATTATTGCTGGAATGAAGATTTATTGTTCTCGTTCGTAACGTGCGGGTTGCTGCGTCTAACGATAACTCATCACGTGACGAATTGTATCAATTCCGTAGCCCACCTCTACGGATACAAGCCCTACGATAAGACGCTGCACGCTCACGACCACAACGTCTTGGGACCGTTGGCTCTTGGGGAAGGATGGCACAATTACCACCACGCGTTCCCAAGGGACTACCGCGCCAGTGAGATGGACGGATGGTGTTTCAACTTAACAACCAAGATCATCGAAACTTTGGCCAAGTTCGGCTTAACGTATGACCTGGTAACGGTCTCGGACGACATCATCAACAAACGAGCAGCCCGCACCGGCAACCCCGACGAACGCAGACACCCGCGGCGGGAGGTAGCGGGGAGTGCGCAGCCGTCGCCCCAGTAGCAGCAGCTGAAGACTTTCCAATCCCAGGAAACCGAGTGGCTCACTTCGCCAAGTGGTGGTCTGCCTTCAGACTCGGCGATGCATGGAAAAGTGGTGAAATAAATCAACGGGACCAGTGCGCCATTTTTGATTACATCCAAGTCAATGAGATAATGTGGCTGGAAACTATCTTACGTACGTTGTGCCTTATTCCAATTGTTAATTCGTTGCACCTTAAATTGTTCAAGATTCTTCGTTCTTATACAAATTCAAAGTTGTATCAGTTTGATAGGGTTTTAAACAGATTTTGTACATGCTTGTAAATTTTGGGTTCTAGGCTTCACTCCTAAGTTCTGCCGCAATGTTTCCTTGCAATTTTTTAGTTGATTTGTGACGACACCAGACGGAATGTTTAGTTTGTAATGAATGTTTAGAGTGCCCTTGAGTGTAAAGTTATCAACGAACAGATCGTTCGTTGATATGCGTAAACTCTGATGTACTGCCACTATGCCAAATATATATAATATTAAGTTGTTAAACTTGTTTTGAATCCTAACAACAGTCTTTGCAGAAATCGAAATTATTGAACAAAAGGACAAGAGGCATGATGAAAAAAGTTTGAAAATTATGAGAAGCTGAAAGACTCTGAAATTATGTCACATCGTTTAATTCTATTGTCTTTTAAATTCTGACATTGAAAATAAACGTTCATTTAAATTTGCGTCGTGAAACCGAAATACGTGTTGCGATTGAAGAGAGTATTCTCCAGAAATAATATATTATAAAGGAAACATTGGCTATTTTTTCGTAGAAACTCAAGAATTAATATAAATGAAAAAGAACTTCGGGTCATAATCAATGAGTTGGCAAAAAAAAATTGGTAAAGGACCAACTTTTTTAACGTTTTTAAGAGACAAGAACTACATTAGAAGTTCAACATACCTCTAGATGAATTTGATAAGCTCGAAAGTTAAATGAATTGATGCAAATGAAAATATTAGGGATTTTATTAATTAGAAGAAATACCTTCCTTAACTTCGCATCAAGAGCTAACTAGGTGTCGGACAAATTTACGGCTGGACTCGCGGCCGGTCTCACGGTCAATCTCCAAATTCGATGACCAAGGAATATCTCCCAAACTAATGAACGTAGCTCGATGACACTTGGTACACGTTTTCATTAGAACCTAACGCTGATGTTTAGCTCGTGAAGAATTTTCTCCATTTCACCTTCATTCGTGAATGATAAGGCAATTCGGTCCCAAATTCGCAGTGACCAAGAAATTTCTTATAAACTACTGAACAGATTTGAACGAAACTTTGAATATACAAACCTAACCTCCCACCGGTGATATTTAGCTGGGCACAATTTTCTCGATTTTGCCTTCATTTGCGAGTTATACGGCTATACGTGTACATCTCTTTGTCGATGCAAATTTAAAAAGTGGCCTCTGATATGCCGGTCGTTTTTCCGTGTATCCGTATAACTCGCTAACGCTCCAAAGCTTTGGCTCCATTAATGTGAAGCTTTCCAATTAAATGAAGAGCTTTTCCAATAAATTTGGAACTTTTCCAGTAAATGTGACGCTTTTCCATTAAATGTTGAGCTTTTCCATTTAATGTGGAGCTGTTCCATTTAGTGTGGATCTGTTCCATTAAATGCGAAGCTTTTCCATTAAATGTAGAGTTTTCTCAATAAATGAGGACCTTTTCCCGTGATTGTAATGCTGTTCCATTAATTGTGTGGCTTTTCCTTTTAATGTGAAGCTTTTCACTTAATTAGGAGCTTTTTCATAGAGAATGGAGCCTTTCCATTAATTTAGATCTTTGCCGTTTAATGAAGAGCTTTTCCACTTAATGCAAAACTTTTCCCTTTAATGCGGATATTGTCCATTATTGTTGAGAATTATCATTTTATGTGTAGCTTTTCCATTAGTGTTGAGCATTTCCAACTAATGTAAAGCTTGCCAATTTAATGTGAAGCTTTTTTCATTCAATGCACAGGTTGTCCATTGCTGTGGAGCCTTTCTATTACTGTGAAGCTTTTCTATTAATATAAAGTTTTCCATTCATGAGGAGCATTTCCATTTAATATGGAGCTTTTCAATTTAATGTGGAGCTTTTCCTTTAATGCGCAGCTTGTCCATTGAAATGGAGCCAAAGACTGGAGGCGCCACCGGGTCATGCCGGTGCGGGCATTCCAGCCTCTTCTCGTGAAACTGATTGATATCCTTTATAATCTTGGTTTGTGAAAATTTGGGCTAATTAACCATATGAAGTAATTGATAAACAAAAAATTTACAATTCACTCTATTTAATATTTACGTTAGGTTTGGAAAAGTCTTTCCACCTGGTCAAGTCTGTTGAGGCCATTAAAAAGGCAGTGATTTATGATGGAAATAAATTAAACTTAATATAATATAATAATAGGGTAGTTCAATCACACGCTTTTGTAATTCGAGGCAGCCCGTGAGGAGAAAAAGTTTGATAAATCTCTCACGAAAAATGGAAGATGTAATAACAGATGTCTGAAGAGAGGTAATGTCCAGTTCTGAAAATATTTACCAACTGCACATTGATGTTGATCATATTTGCTATAATATTCACCATATCACCACAAATAAAAAGAAGAACCATTTTGCATTGGCCTTATCCAAGTTTGAGGTGTCTCATAATTAGAAGATTGAACTGCGGAAAAACGTCATTGCTACTGAAATTGCTATATTGGAGAACTTTATTGATTTCAACAATATTTTCTAGTATAGCAAGTCAACTCATCAGCCTGAAAATAAGTTGTTGAAAAAAGCATTCGATAAGAAATATAATGAATCTCAAATCATTGATTTATTTTATAACGGTAATTGCAATATTGGCGTATATCTTGAAAACTTACCTGAAGGACGCAAACAAAAATGTGCAAACGAATATTTTGAGAATACTGCTTCTGTACCTGATCCCAGTAATATAGATCCTAGGAAGAAGAATTTGTTCATTTTTGATGATTTTGCTGCGGAGAAAAATCAAAATCCAGCTGATAGTTTTTACACCAGTGGAAGGCATAATAACTGTAGCTCAATTTACTTATCCCAAAACTATCACATATTACCAAGACAAACCATTAGAACGAATTCAAATTTATTAATTCGAGTTACCTTTCATCGATATGAAGAATATTCACAGTAGTTATATTGCTTGCTTGTGATATGCCATTTGCCGAGTTTCAAGAACTGTGTAATGATACGTATAAAGTACATTATAGTTTTGTGTTGCTTAATAAAGATGAGTTCCCAAGTTCTGGAAAGTATTTCAAAACTTCAAATCAATTATAAGTTCCATGGAAATATCTACCAAAGTGACACTCGCTCTAGATTTTTAATTACCAATAGCTCCCAAAACTTTACTGACGGTGATTAAAAAATATTGTGAGCGATCGGCCAATTTTCGATTTGCGACAGTGCTCAAATTTTTTGTTCGTCAAAATAAGAGATAAGATTGTGGGAAACCTGTGATTCAAGCTGCTTGTTAATATTGTGATTATACACTCCTATTGTGATGATACAATGCCACGAATTACGTTGTCTTTATACTACTAGCATTTCTGAATAATAATATTCGTACCAAACTACAAGGTCCCACAGAAATATCTTCATTCACGAGTGCATCTTATTTGGCAATTGCATTTTCCCATTTAAGTTAATGTATCGATAATTTGTAACTAGTAATTGAAAGTAGTATAACCGTCATGGTTCAACTACCGAAGCCAGCGGTTAAAAAGCAATCGCCAATATATTGACCATTTACTGGCATTGCCTACTTCTTCAGTTTTGTTGGAATAAATCTATTATCTCTAAATCCATGCTGCCTTCGCGCTATCTGTGGGTAATAAAAATTCTTTATTACAGGCACCAGAATCAGATATATTTCTCTTATTAGAACAATTTATTTCAACTTCAAACTGATAATGAAAATTGACCGATCCCCTGCGTGACAGACTGTTAATGTATTTTGTTAACTATTCTTTACTTGGATATTTCTCCTGATAAAATTTATGAATGGTTTATACGGAATACAAGCGCGTAAGAAATGATAAGAAGTACGGGCATTGAACAGTATAAACTATAAAGGGATCTCCTCCCTAACGCATATTTCGACTAACAACAAAGACCAATGTTTATTTTCTGAGCTTGGGGACACACACCAGGCCAAAAAAAATGTTCTTTGCCCGGTTCCCGGTCACTCCCTGTGGAATAAAGCAGCCCTACTTCATGTTATCCCAAGTTACAACGGGGCGATTATGAAAGGTCATAGAAAAGTTGAATGATAATGCATTTTACTCGTTGTCAAAAGGAAGAATTTCTTTCAACAATTTTTTATTCTAAGGCGAAAAAAATAAATAATTTTTCGAATTTAAAAATACTACGAAAAAAATTCGTCACCCAAAAATCAGACATCAAGACTAGGTGAGCTGTGCAGATGAACATTAAACTCTTTGTTAGAAACAGTACACGAAACATTTTTTTGAACATTTTTTTAGAAACAGTACATGAAACATTTTGTTAGTACATGAAACTCTTTGTTAGATTTATTGAAATCTCCAAGTAAATGCAATGAACGTTTTGATACTAGAATTATTTTCCAAAGTGTTTTACCTTCACGGACAGAATATATAGCTATAGGGTTTGATAAATTCAATGTATGCGACGGTCATTCAAAATACTATCCTCATTTGCAGTATTTGTTCGGGCAGGAACGCGGAATGGAAAAACCACCGATAAGTTATTATTTATTATATTATATCATTATTAATAATAATCTTTAATATTATTATTATTATTTTATTATATTGTTCCGAATTTTATTATTACATTCGAAACCATTTGCAATATCACACAATATAATTACAAAGACAACGCTAATAACATTCATTGTTTTTTGATGAAATCGTTCCGCGGCCCAGCTCCCAATTGATAAAAAACGTTCATCTGAAACACAATTTTATTAAAATATTCGCAATTATCTTGTAGTTTTATATACAACTAAATTGTCTGATAA